GAAAGAAAGAACAGAATTAACCGAATCGGCTGTGGAAACGAGCGTAGATCTGAAAAGTTTGGGAAGAAGGGCGGCGGTTAGCCGGCGGGATCATGACTTACAGGAGAAGACGAGGGCGGCAGCGGCGCCGAGGAAGCCGAAGAAGGGTGCTGTTTCATCACCGCTAAAGGTTGACGACATAGTTCGATCGATTTGGAATCCGGCGGAGATCGGATCTAGAGAGAGGAGAGAGATGAATTCGGTGGACAAATAGAGGCCTTTTAATTATATTATTATATTATTTAAATTTGGGCCTGTTCACAATATATGGTGGACTCTGATTGGCTTGTTCAATGTCCATGAATTAGATTCAAATTTAATTTACATATTTGCCCCTCCAGTCAAAAAATAAGAAAAAAAAAGATATTTGATTATTTTAGTGAAAAAAATAGTTCTATTTTGGTAAACATTTTGTTTTGAATTGTGGTTGGATTTTTTTTATATATATTGTTTACTATACTATTTTGTCAGCTTGGTACGATTTTCATAAAGTTGTTAAACAAAATGAGTCGCTCGTGAACTTGATTCGACTTGGCTCGTTAAGGCTCAAGTTCGACTAAGCTCGTTTCATAAACAAGCCGAGCTCAAACTCGTTTTATTAAATGAGCAGATTGGCTAGATAAGACTCATAAAGAAAATTTTTATATAACTTTCTATAAAACTCAAGATCAGCTCGAACTCTGCTAGTTAATATTGATAAACGAACCAATCTAGAATTCGATTTATGGCTGATTTACTTAACGAGTCGAGCTGGGTTCAGCTCGTAAAGAGTTCGAACTCGACTTGTTTACATGCCTGTTTCCACGAACCAATTTTAAATACACAAAAAATAATAATAATAATAATAATAAATAAATTGTACAACTTGGCACAATTCAATTTGATATTTTTTGCTAGTAAAGAAAACTTTTGGTTGGAGTGTTTATTTCTGGTTGTTATTTTCTTCTTTTTAATTTCGAATCACATCCTTGCTCACTTCAACCTAGTAACTAAGTCAATTGTCGGTCAATGGGATATCTTGAAAATTTTAGATATCACATATGTATATAATTTTTCTAATAATTGTACATCAAGGTAGGAGATATATATAATTCACATGAAATTTTATACACGAAAAATATAATATTATTTTCAGANGGAAACGAAAATGAAAAATAACTCGGCCAACCTGGTACATGAAGAGAGAGATGCATGATACACTAGCATGTAACAAAAGCAAATTTCAAAAATGGTAAGTAATTACAATATTATCTACATTCAAGTAAAAACTAGTGAAATATTTGAAGCAGACATGCTAATAAAACTAGGAAGAACTATTTCCACATTTCAGTTTAACTTTGCACAGATCCACAATTAAGATACAAAAACTTATGTCTCACCAAAGTTTTCTACGATAACTAAACGTACCTTCAGTCAGTTTCTTCGTTTTCAGTCCCTCTGGCTCGGATTGTATGTGTAGTTCCGCTTCTTTTGCTCCTTTATGTCAGCTGAAAATGGCATACAATTTACATAGCTTCACTAGGATCAGAATACTTTTATCTCACCACAGACAAAAATCATTTTATCAACTAATAATCTGGTAAGCTTAAAGGAAACAACAGAATGAAAAGGTTATTCAAGAGTAAAGAAAGAGAGAAAAAACGAGCAATGTACCAAATTCTTGAAGCTCGATGCCAAGGAAAACCAAGAAACTGAAATACGTCCACCTCTTGGAACTGTAAATCGAAACCTTAAGAAATTGAAGATCTGTTATATATATAATATATCTACCTGTCAATGATGTAAAATCACGGAAAGATGAATAAGCAGACTACAAATGAAAGAATTTATATCATTAACATACCTGAAGTTTGTGGCCTAAGTGTGACGTTAAAAATGTGTGTAGCAAGAAAGACCTGTGAGGTTCGAAGAAGAATCTGCACTCATTAAGTAACTTCAAAATTATATTCGGAATCGGAAAAAGAAAAAAAAAATAACATTCTTTCATCCTCAATGTGACATAAATATACAAAATTCAACAAGAACAAACACAAAAAGATACACATACATCGATCAGAAAGATTATGAACAGTCATCTTTATCACAAATCATGCAGAATCTGTATCACCACCAGCTAACAAGAAAACTTCATTTTAGATAAGAATGAAATTTTGTGGAGCATAACAAGACAGAGATCTTGAAGCACATACACCACATAGCATCACATTTTTCATGTGACCGGTAATTTAATCAGTCGTATTTACCTTTTGGGCACACGGCCATGGTAAAAAAGAGAGGTAACCTTCATAACCATTCCTTCTAACAGCCAAGTCATGCTCAAACTTTATTCTTAAACAGTAATTCTTCTCCCAAAGACAGTAAAATAAAACTAAAGATAAGAGCAAGTTGTGCTACTGAAGAAGAATACTGTATACTTGAATTCACCAACCAAAATCTACACTGTACAGTCACAGTCAGGAAAAAAAAAAATCATTTCTGTTCTAAACTCAGGTGAAAAAGGTTAGGTCTTCACTTTCTACCCTACAAAATACACTTCTTTTGATTAAAATAAGCAAATTCAGAAAAAAGCAATCCCATGTTACAGGATTGTTTCGTATTTTCAATGATCTGGAAACGGCACTTGTGAGCTTCCTTGCTAATATGTCATGATATAGTCATATCTGAACCAAAAAGCATGCATATTTCTTCAAGCATCCTTCTCAGAAGTTCATGCTTTGGCATCTGGCTTCACGGCCTTGTGCCTTTCAATCAGCAAGTCCACGAATGCTCGGATCTATGCAAAGTATAAAACATAAAAAACCAAAAATTGGATTTTCAAAGCTTCAAGCTCAAAGGAAACATTGATACAGTAATTTTAGCAACCAACTGAAGGCAGAAAGAGCGCAGCTTATAGGAAGTGAACAAAGGGAGCAAGCACTGCATGGAGCACATTGATTTGAAATATTTCACAGCATGTAAAAGCAAATCAGTAGGAAAAAATCAATAAATATAATGCTGAATGTTGAATTAATGAAATTAGAACATGTTGCCTTTTGTTCTCTTCCATTGAATGTTAAGGTACACTGAAAATCCTTCATTTCACAGTTGGGTCTAAATTAATTCTGACATACAATAAAAGCTAGAACATCACACCATTACTTTCCAGTCAAAAGGTTCTAGGATTTAGAGATTTCAGAGAAAGGGGAAAAAACGAGAGACTGGTGGCAATGGAAGAGAAAAATAGAAGTACATTTGGCCCGTACGATAATCATATCATGAAGTGCATTTAAGATATCTTCCAGAAATTTTTTTCTCATGTTGGTTGACTATAAAATTACAGCAAAAATACGTCAAACCAATCAATGTGATTATTACATCTTTATCTTTATTAATATAAATAGATTACCAGGATTTTACATTTTGCTAAAAATAGAAGCATCTTTTTGCTAAAATTCTAAAATTGGAAATTTTCAATAACGCTATCTTCTCATGTCTTCTTTTATTCATCCAAAATATGGATGAATATAAGTACCCTAGCTATAAGCAAATTAATCAATAATTTCTCATAAGTCATAACATTAATTGAAAATAATAAAATTTCGTAAACTTCAAAATAACAAATAGGCACACGCATATTAAGAAAAATTAAACTATTACACAGCATGTAAAATTAAATAAAAAGATAAGAAATAAAATTAATATCAAATAGTATTTTTATATGTGTAGATTGAATCAACTTAACTCATATAGTTTATAATAACTGCCCATGCAATCACGAGTTGCGCATTAGTTCATAGAAAGAAAAGAAAAGGAAAGAATAGGGGAAAAAAAATCAGAAGGTGTAGAAAATCAATAAGATAAAATGTTCCAATAATATCTAATCAATATAAGACACACAAACCTTGTTTTTGCGTTTGAAATCAAGAAACTCGTGGACAGCCATAGCTTTCTCGGCATCAGTAGTTTGCTCCATGACCTAAAATAAAATATGAATAAATGTAACAAAAGGCATTTAAAAAACACATACAACTAATAATAATAATTAAAAAAAAAAAAAAAAAGAAAATATAAAAGTTAAAAAAAAAACCTTGGTGGCAGCTTTCTTCATGATTGACTTGTAACCATCCCTATCAATCTTCTTCGCATTATAAAGAGGCATGAGCAACGAGGCCACATAATCCACAACTGCCTTCTTCAGACGGTCAGCTCCTCTCAGTTGAGAGCCTCTGGACGATTTATTATTCATCGTAACTTTTGAAGCTGAGCTCTCATTCGCTGAAAACTCGTGCTTCCTCAAGCTCAAGTTCGACTCCTCCTCGTCAATTAAGTGCATCGTCCCATGAGAGAAGCCTGAAGCAGCTGCTGCCGCCTGGCATTGCCACCTCTCGATGGCACTGTAGTCTTTGATCCCCACACTGCCATCACTATCGACCCACGCCTTAGTCAGAAAACTGCTATCCACTTCGACATTTTCCCCAGAGTGCTCTCTGATGTTCGACTGACAATCAGCAGCGAACTCATTTGTGAAATCAACAGACCAATCTCTAACCCTAGAGTTTCTAGAATCTATTTCGGCTAAGCAATCTTCACTTCCGATTGCACCACCGAACCAATGCTTTCTACTGTCGGGTGCATCCATGAAATTGTTCTGTCCCCGCATGGCAAATTTGTGAAATGAGAGAATTTTGGGTGCCTGTAGTGAAGCATTCCGAGCACCAGAAGAAGCTAATGCCTGCACAGTGGGAACAGATAGGAAAAGGGTGAGAAGTGAAATAGAAGAAAAAACCCATATCAGAATCCCACACCCACACAAAGAAGGAGAAGTACATATACATGTATAAGTTATAACTAAATTCAGTGTGCCGAGTCCAGTACAAAATAAAATTGAATAAAAAAAAATCATTTTCACTTGCCTCAAGAATTTAAACCTAATGCACACAAAGCAATAGTTAAGAAATGAATCCAATGCAGCATGGCACCAAAAAGACCCCATTCCTAAGTTTAAGAAGGCATTGACATTATAATCTAGCTAGGGAATGGAAGATAAGTATGTTCTGGACCATATTTAACCTCAAATCAATTAAGTCTTTCATAAGCCGAAGGAGCCAACATATAATTGATTACAGATACAATACTACTTCATTGCATATACATATAAAGAGGCGAAAAGGGATTACATATCACAATGCAAACCAAACAAGTACAACATGCAGACCAATAGAAAGCAATCTCATCTTTGATGAGGCAAAGAATTATAAGAAATAATCATAAAATTTTTCGAAGAACATGCTGTGAATTTACAAGAACCACTGAAAACACAACAAAAACCTTAAATATGATATCAAATGGCTCAAAATACGAGATTAGTGTGGAGAATGATAGAATAACAAGCAAACCTTGGCAGCAGCAATAGCTGAAGCTCGGGCTGCTTCTGCAGCAGCAAAGGCAGCTTTTTCTTCTTCAGACATGGGAACTTCGTGGCTATCCTCTTCAGTGTTCTGGTGGATTCTTGCTTCTGATTTAAGTGGGCCGCCATCCATTTTTTTAGTACTTGTACTGGAATGCAGCTGATGTTCAGCAGATGCAGAAGCTTTGGAGTTTAACTTGCTCTCAACATTTCCCAGAGGTGGTTTTCCAGAGACAAGAGAAGACTTGCTCTTTGAATCCAGACTATTTGACTGTCGAAGTAACTTAAGCCCTCCTTTAGAAGCCTTCTCCTTGCGGAAAAGTTCAACCCACACACGTACAAGCTGAAAGGCTATGGCACGTATATCGCGACTGGTATGAACACAGACCTTTTGCTTAACAGTTTTTCCAACACCTGAGTGAAAGAGCTCAAAACATGTTAATAGATGACAGGAACTACGGCATAAAAACTTCTAAATTTATTTCAAAAGACCCAGCACGAGAGAACACAGTATATAAAACCTAGCATGTTGATGGTTTCAGTTTCACTTCCATTCTTTCCCATTAAAAAATATAAATAAATAAATAAATACACGTAAGGAAAATACAAGAAAGAAATATCCCTACGATTTTTTTAATAAAATAGACTCGGCGACATGCAATTAAGACGCCCCAAACTACAAGTGGTAGAAACAGAGGACACATGCAAGCACCTGATAAGCGAACTGCAGCCAGATCGTTTGAAACAAGTACAAGTAAACGGACACAATGGCGCAAAAGCTGAGTTCCATCCTTCCCCATAGAATCCTGTTAAAAAACTCCAAACAATCAATCATTAAATGTCCAAAAGATATATAGCAATAACCTACCAAAGGAAATTTGAAGTGGAACCATCAAAACAGAGGACTTACCAGAATCCATGTGTTGAGGGTGCTAAGCCCTTCTTTGGTGCTAGCAAATGTCTTCAAAAACCCAACAGGAAGGTTTAACAACTCCTTAGCTAGATGCAATCTGCCAGCAGTAGTTTTTGCAGTGAAGAACATATCCTTAAGCATCGTGCCCCAGCTAGAAGCACGAGATCCATCCAAAGACTTTTTATACAAAGCATTAGAGAACTCCACAGCATCTAGCCTCCTGATAAGGTCCTTTACTTCACTCCTCTCGATATCCGAATGTCTTCTTGCAGCCTCCATGGCCTCGACTTCGGCAATGTAATCCTTTCCTGTATTCATTATATCAATAATGCGTACAGCCTCTCGTAGCCCACTCATCATTGCACCACCAACCGTGTCTGGGTGCTCCTTGCATGTGGCTTCACCAGCAAAGAACAAGCAGTTCTCGACCGGTTTTCCCAGAATATCATAGTCTTCTCCAGATGATCCAACAGCAACATACGAGTAAGCACCATAGCTGTAAGGATCTCGTCCCCAGTCAGTAACTACAGCTGCAACTGGATTGGGGACCTTATCTTCCCCGAATAGCTTTCGAAGAACAAGCAAAGCGTGACTGACATTATCAGACGAGCCAGTACTTTGACCATCTTTCGCAGCCTTGCCAACAACCAAAGCTATAAGAATAGGTGCACCGACGGTTTTCTTAACATTCCAGAACATAAAGCAGCGGCCCCGTTGATCTCGATTTTCTGCAGTAGCGCCAAAGTAATCGATAGTATCGTCCCAAAAAACTTCAGGAAACTCCAACACTACCTTGTTTAGAACGCCAAATCCAAGCCTCTTAATAGATAAGTACTTCCATTCGGGCAACGAGGGTGAAAATTTGATGCTCTCTGCTTTCAGGCACCCGAGTGGCACAGTCACCAAGACTGCATCCCCTGAAAACTCCTTGCCGTTTGAAGTCAAGACTTTAACCTTTCTATGCAACTTATCATTTGCCTCGCAGTCCATTCTATTATATGTAACTTCTGTGACAACATGGTCCAAGTGAATGCAAATTCCTTCTGCAAGAGATTCAACAATAGCGCTGTAACCCCCTTTAATCATACAATGGGCACCACCAAATCCTCCATAGACATCATCTTGATTCCAGTTTGGAAGTGAAACTTCTTGAAGCAAGGCAGCACATCCATACTCCAAGTGGGCAAAATGCCAATCCATGACTCTCCTCTCAAGAGGTCTCAATCCAGAAGCTTCTCGAGATTTAACAGGTATAGCTTCCATATAATCTCGACCAGAGTGGGCCATACGGCGTCTTTTGAGCCCGTATTCTAAACCTTCCTCAAGAGACATTTTCATTGCAGACTCCCCTTTCTCAGCAACCAGGAGTTCCATTTCGTCAAGTAGTCTGTTATATTCTGCTTCCAATTCTTCATCCAGATCTGCAGGAACTCTCTCACCCGTCACAGTGTCATATAAGGGACAATCACTGTTCAATACAGTCAATTCGAGGCCCAACTGAGCACAAATCAACGATGAAGGATCGGGTCTTCTTTCAGTGGCCACGTCAGCCTCCACGCCTGTAATGATGCTAGCTCCAAGATCTACGGGAACACTCAAAGACGAGCGGTCTGTAAAAACACGGCCCCCTACTCTGCTCCTTGCTTCGAGCACTGTAACACTGAAACCTTGGCGTTGCAAGTGGCGTGCTGCAGTTAAGCCAGCGGGACCCGCCCCTATGACTATTATATTCTTTTTGGACTTTGAAAAATTCTGAGCACGACTAAATGAATCATCCACGGAGTCTGACAATCTACCGCACAGTGCTTGCTCGGGGCTGAATAAAACTGGCTGAGGGTCAGGAATAGTTTTGTCATTCTCATCTGTACGGGAAGGAATTGAATCCAAATTATCTGCACCAACAGAAGCTTCTTTTTCAAGATGTGCAGCATCAAAAGAATTGATTCCTCGAGTATGATCAAGGGAACTTTCTTCCATGACGCTTTGGGCAGTGGATTTTGACGCCTTGAGATTTACGTGTCCATTTTCTGGAACGTCGATGCCTGCCAGGTTTCCCTCCGCAAATGCATCAGCATGCTTTTCACTGACAGAGTTTTCTGATATTTTGTCCTTCCCAAGAACAACAGCATCTCCATCCTTGGAATTTGTACAGGGAGGCACAGAATTGTCCCTGTGCTTCTCCTCGGCTAGAAGCTTCGCATCAGCCTTGATGCAGTTATCAGGATTCTCCTTTTCAGAAGGCACTCCAAAATTTATATAACCCTGTGAGAGAATTATATTAGTCATGTTCAAGGGGGAAAAGGATAAGAATATAACCTAACACCAAAATTTATATATACAACCACTAAACATACCTACTCTCTCAACTCCAGCTAACTCACGTTGACTAGGGAACAGTGATGAGGAGTTCACAATTACCCTTCCCATTTCACTTAGTTTTAACTAAGTCTAATAGGATCTCAATTATGCATATGCATGCCCTTTAAGTTATGTGAAATTTTGACACAAAATCTTGAGAGAGAAAAACCGAATTACAACAATGTTGAAATTATGATCCTTATGAGTGATCCAAGAAAATGGCTCCTTTTTCTTTAGTTAAAATACATACTAGAAACCAAGCCCAAACTCCTTTCAAAAACATTACCTATTTCTCATTCACATTTCATTCACCACAGGATAAGTTACTCCTACATTAAATGATACAATAATATAGTGAAACTGAACAAAAGAACGTTGTGGTAAACAAACTTTACATTAGAAAAAGGGAGGTGGGTTTATAGAACATTTTAACACTGCTACACATATCATGCTTATCAGGATTTACATCTTTGACTTTTCAACTAGTCTTAGTCATGTTAAAAGAGAGTTTCCTTACATTATTAGTTAATGCATTAGCTATTTCTCTATGATAAACATGATCCAATAATTTTATTTTTAAAAAAAAAAATGATCCAATCAGTTGGGCGGCTATTTATTGATGAGGCTAAGTGCCTATTTCAATACATGGTGTGGACCAAAGTGTAGTTCACCCTAAATTGATTAAGAAACGTAAACTCACACATTGATCTAGAAAGGCGAAGATATCCCTAATCAGAGAATCACGTTTGCTTTCACCCTCCAGTGGAGCCTCCGACACACCAAAGTTTGCCAGTTGTAAAATGCGGGTGACATCTTTGTTCCATAAACTCAAAATATGGTTCCTGCAAAGCATCAACCAATTGAATCCCAGGGAGTTTGCAGAAAACGATTTAACTATTCAAAAAGGTATTGAATCATGCCATGCTTTTCAAAAAACCATATTAATTTCTTCTCGGAAGAGTTAGTGTTCTTATGTAAGAGCAAACATGCAAGAAATATAGAAACTGTTGAATAAACTAATAAACTTGTGAAAAGGCAGATGATTAAACCTAAATGAGAACAGCTATGAGTTGGAACTACTAACAGCTACTAAAGCCCCCAATATCAAGAAAACACAAATGATGATGATAATTATAGCATTCATGAAAAGTAAACCAG